ACATACACTGGACTTTACTTAAATTTCATTTAATTTAATTTATTCCTTGTCATCTAAGATGAATGTGAGGCTTTACCTTTCGTCCTTCAGCACTGAAGAGACTCCAGTGTATGTATCTAAACACGTGTGGCTTAACTTAAACTGTTTAAAATTGCAGAAGGGGAGAAGCAACACTCAGAAGCTGACATCGATCTCAGCTAGAAAGTGGAAATGAACTGTGCTGCCTCTTGGCTGAGGCAAGACCTCTGTTCTGTGAGGCTTCTCTTCCCTTCCTTGTTGATGGTTTAAGTTAAAATGTTCGCTATGTCCCCATACAGCACAGTAAAGGAAAAAAATGCCATACATGTACTACACATGCATAGCGTTACTACAACTTCTGCTTCACAGCTGATCCAGGCAGATTAGGGCTAAGGACAAGGTAAACATTTCATGGAGCACTATTATGGCCTCTGCTGTGGCAGGCTGTTATGAAAGATTAATAAGATAGTGTTATACATTGATCCTCTGCTAGGGTAAGTTATAGCAGTGTTTAAAACTTAAGGTGGACTGAAGGAAAAGGTAGCGAAGCTTTAACCAAAGTTCTGCCTTAGGATATCTCTATAAAAAAAAAAATAAAAAAATTAGTTTTAACAAAGGAAGGAATTCAGGGAGACAAGTCCTTGAATTATGTAATTCTGTATGAAACCAGTAATTTTTTTTCTGTTTAAGTATTTGCAGCACAAGGTGGTTTCTGCTTTGTCACTTGTTATTTTGGGGGCAAGAGCAGGTAGAACATTATTGAACTCGAAATAATCTAGCTCATCTCTGTAGTTGTGAATGGGTTTTCCAGGGTTCAGACTTCATTTTTTTTTTTCTTGCTACAGTTTATTCCACCACCTTTCTTCTGTACCAGGAGTGATTTGGGGATGTTCAAGAGAGGCAGAACCCCCTCCTTCTAGAAGCCAGACTTTACACTGTAACAGTGAAGAGCTGGTGCTTCAGGAACCATGTCTGTGTGATTTCTGTCACAAGCTGTTTCACATAGATACAAAACCTTTAGGAAAATAGTAAAGAAACTTCATCTTAGGCTTGAAGCCTGTCCACTATTGAGAGTACCTATTTCCTGTGTGTAACACAGCAAGTATCAGGCTCAAATTCTAACAGAGCAGAGGCAAGGTAATATTACCTAGTCTTACTGAAATTGGCTGTTAGTGTGAGGCCCAAGCTATGTAACTTCTTCATTCCTTAACATCTCAACTGCACTTGATGGAATATTCTAGGTATTTCTACTCCTAACTATCATGAGAATTTTCCTCTAATTGGTATGGGGAAGCTCTACAGAGAGTTGAAAAATGGAGACTGAGGTACTGAAATGCACTTTTTTGATGAAATACCATTGTCCCTTTCTTCATATTATACACACCCCTAAAAAAAGAGTCCAGTGCAGTGTGTTACTCAACTCCAGTAATTTAATTTCATTGAACAAAAAAACTGCCAAAATTTGACAGTTTGATGTAAGTTGAATCTGAACAAATTGATTTTACAATGCAGTATAAATAATTCTTAACTTATATAAAACTTGATTAAGATTCTTTTTACTAACTTTACAAAAGAGCATTATCAAACATAGGAGCAAAAGAAATTTTAACTATGGTCTTTTTGTTAAAACAAAATATGTACACACTCACAGTATTTTCTTTGTGCAAAATATGTACTGACAGACTGTACCTTTCTGTACAAAGGCAATTTCAGTTACTTTGCATAGCAGAAAAGCAACACAGAAAACACTCGATACATAACGTTGCTGCTATAATTCCTTAAGTAAGTCTTTTGGAAAAAATATTAGACACTAACTTTCTCATTAAGAGCCAGTTTTAATTCTAAAGCATTAAGGCTATTCCAGGATTGCAGTCTTGCCAAAACATGTTTTGTCCATAATACAATTCATTGTGTGCAGTGTGTTATCAGTAATTATGCCTGTTAACACAGTCAGCAAGTTGATATCCCCAAACTAGTCTTCTGACACTTCAAGTTTTCGTTGAGGAATATATAGGGTTCCTTGAGAGGTTCTGTCAGTACCATCTGAGTTTGCAGACAGTGTAGATACTGTGTTTGGCCCTCCTGGTGTGCGGAAAAACATTTCTGTTGTTGTCTGGGGCTCTTCGGGTTCCTTTGGAACACTAGGCTAGAGAAGAGAGAGAGTTTACTTTCATTTAAGAAAAAAAAAAGTGAATTACAGTTTTAGGTTTCTGCAGGATATTAGCAAACAGTTTCCTGAAATTTTTAAATTAACAACTCTACAGAGAGAAATAAAACTATTTATTTTCCTTGAAATATGTATATCTATACAAAATTGATTAAATAGAGAAACTGCTTTCTCAAATCTGTCTTCTATTTTTAGCGCAAACAGACCTTAGGCAATACAGTATTATATATATTACACAGAGAAAACTCCATAGGAAACAAGATTCTGTTATAATGCTCTGCTATCCTATGAATAAAAGCTACAATTAAGTAGAAGTAGTTGAGAGTAAATTAGGAAAGTATTGACAAGGAAAGATAAAGTAACAGATCTGTTACTTTAAGGATATGTTATTTCAGGTTCATCCAAAATCTTCTAGGACAGTTGTCTCTTCACACCTTGTCATTCTCCAGCTGGCTCCACATCCTCAACAACTAGGATACGTGTTCTTCCTTTGTAACCTCTCACTTACATTGTACTTATGCTAGTCTTCACTGCTTTTTGTGGTCACTAGTGATTTATAAATCAAGATTGAAAAAATATTGGTTTAAAAAATTTACTTGCAGAAAGGAATTACTGCACTATTATTTCCCACTGGGCACATAGTCAAAGAAGTTGCAATGTTTTTACTTACCTTTTCCTCTTTTAAGTTCGTGCTTTCTGAGCTGTGGTTACTATTTTCTGCTTTTGGAGAGATTGGTACATGCTGAAGAACAGGATTTGCAGGAACTTGCATACCAGCAGGTATTAGTCCTACGTGTTGCAGTGTAAAGTTCAGAACTGAAGAATTTGGATTTTGGGCAGAACTGGTGTTGCTTGAAGTGAGACAGGAGTTGCTTAGTACAGGTGCAGCAGCAGCTATAGAAGTTGGCGACAGCATTATATTCAGGGATGTTATGTGAAAAGCAGGAATGTTAACTGCTTTCAGTTCAGATGCTGTCACTGGAATGACACCTGAAACAGAAAAATCAAGTGTTGAAGGAATTAAGAATTGAGGCTCTTACACTGTGTCTTCTGGACCTGAGTACGATCAGTCTGGCTCATTGTCCTTTGAACCAGACAACTGTGTACCTATCTTGTTTAGTACTCACCAGCAGGGGGTGAGCTGAAGGAACTGTGCTGTAACGAACATATCCCAGCTTTCTCTTTATTAGAAAGGCTTGCTTTATTGCCATGGTGGGTGCAGTGAGTTAGAGGAATAAGGTAGCCAGATGGAAAAAAGTTCTGAAAAAGAAAGAAAACGACATACCTTTACCCCAAAGATGTAACAAACATGCAAGTATTTCTACAAACTTGTATTCCCCTTGCCACCACCTTATTCTTTATCCTCCCTATATTCCTATATTCCATGCCTGTACTAACTTCTGACTGAAGGTAGTCTCAGCCACACATTGCCAAACAGCCACACATTGCCAAACAAGACTGTTCTAGTCCACAGAAATCAACTGGCTCAATTCCCAGATGATACCCTGGGAGAGGAACTGTCAGTCCACACAGTACAATTAGACTTGACAAAAGAAATCCTTATGTGGAATACTACTTTTGGACAGAAGAAGCACCTGGACTCTGTAGTCATCATGTCATCTCATTCCAGGATTGTGTTTTTTTACGACATTGTTATACAATCCTTTTGCATTTACAAGGTCTGTTTTTGTCAGCAGAACTGTTCTTGATATTCAAGTTCTCTGTAGCAGGAAGTCTTAAGTGCAGAACACAGAATTTTACATAGATTCCACTGTAAATGAAAGTATTTGAAATGAAATGTACACAAACAACAGTCTAGGAAGGTATAGTATTTTAGCATTGCCTCTGTCTGCTTAGGCTTAGTTGTCTTCATCCCAATCAAAGCCTGAAAGTCATTTTACTACTTCTTATTTGTGTACTTAATTCAGAAATAGAATGGCCCTACATTAAGTTTTTTTCTTAAAGCACACTAAAGATAATCCAACTAAAGGCAATCTATATAGATGTAGTTCATTACAATTCTGTTTCTTTTGCAAATTGTTCCAAGTGGTGTTTTTCTAGGTAATGACAATCTATGTTGCGTTCCATGACAAACCTTACCTCATGAGCAGGAATGGCAAATGCCACAGGAATGTCTTGTTTAGGTTTGGTTCTGGTGTCATCTTCTAGAGCATCTGCTCTTTTACATTGGTCAGAGCAACTTGCCATACTTAGGTCTAATGTTTCAGATTCGTTCTGTTTCTCTTCCTGGAAATTGTCCGTTTCATGATTCATTTGTGAGCCACTGGAAGGTGGTCTTTCATTTTTAACGGACTCTCCCTTTAAAAAAAAGTATATATGAAAACAAAGGTAGACATTGGGAAGGACTTGACATTCTCAATTACAGGTCTACGACAACATTCATATGTTTGAAAAGAGAGTTTGTGCTATAAAAACTTGTAGTCTGTAAGAGAAACAGTTCTATGTTATCCCCTCTTGTTCCTTCACAGCAGGCAGATAGTTGGTACCACACACAGCCACATCACTCTAGTAACATTTCACAGCTGTTTTGACAAGCACAATTTAAAGCAGACTGATAATTTACAGACACTAAAACATTCAGCAACTGAGAAGTGGAAAATGATCCAGACCTAGTTTCTACAACCACATCAAGTCTATGTGAACCTCTTATTCTCTTACTGTGCTGTATTATTATGCCTAAAACGTTAACGAAGTACAACGCTGGAAAGAAATATTTAGAAGGTGTCAGGATGTGGGAGACGTTACCTGTCCAGTAACTCTCATGCGTCTACTTTTCCTCCCAACACCTTCAAAGCCAAGAATGAATGTCAGCCCTTCTACAAAGATGAGTAACCTGAACTGCTCCAGAATCATATTCTTAAGTAGGTAAGTCTTGAAAAAATGTTTTGGGAGTTGTTTCTTTCTGAAGATATCTCTACACTGACACGTTCTCAGAAACAGCAGACAATTACAACTTTGTCTTTTAACTGTTTGCATACCCTCCAAAATTATTCCTCAAAGGTAAAAGAACAGGTATTCTGAAATTCCAGTACAGAATATTTATACTGCAAGAGTTATACAAGTCTGTAGCACAAATGCCTGTATAGTCAGCTAAAGGATTATGTATTTATAAGGTTACTCCCTTGTCTGGCTTCTTTATGATTAATTTACAAATTGGACAACATTGGGCAGGCTCCTAAATCAGTTTGAAATAAGAAGGTGGCACCATCTTTAGGCTCTAGAACAGGTTAAAAAAAAAAAACAACAAAACTTACCACAGAAGTATCAAGGCTTTCCTCATCACTTCTATACTTTTTAATCAAATTATTCTCTTGTAATGCTTGTGGTCTTTTAAGGCACCTCTGTGATGAAGATTCAGATTGCATAGATGTCAAGGACTTTGGTGGATCATCTGCAGCTATGTGATTGTCCACTTCCTTGGTGGTTATTTCATTTAAGACTTTTGAATTAATACTCTTAATTCCTGTCACATTAGCACATGGTAGAGGCTGTAACGTGAAACTTGGGCTGTATGTTGTCACAGTGTGGGCTTGGGAAGGATGCAGATATATTGCGTATGAAACGCCAGAATGAGTCTGAGGTAGTATTACTGGTGATACTGAACTGTGGCTCGGAGATAAGACACCTAGTGGCTGAGTGAGGACTGACTTCTGAGAGGGTGCTGCAGTGTGAGTTTCAGGCTTGGGGGCTACCTCAGGTGAGGACAGATTATTTTCCAAAGTGGATCTTGGCAATTTCATTTTCATCCCTTTTGCTTTCCTTAAGAAGAAAAAAAAGAAACAAACAAAAATGCCCAAACACGTATTTTAATATCTTCATTCAGAAATACTAATTATTTTCTGTAATACTAAGACTTACCATGAACTTGTGTGTCTCAACCCACTAAACAGAAAATAGTAAGTAAAAAAAAATAGCCTGCACTATCAGGGCTTATTGTTTTTTGCTGACTATTGCCTGACTCAAAACAAGTATAGTTTGAACTTAATGGTCAGTGACAAAATACAACTTGTCAATATAACGCTTCTGCAAACTTACTTTGATGGTCCTTCCAGCTGATGTTGAGCAATCGCTGCAAGCTGAGACATTTTACTTGTGTAAGCTGATAAATTTTGATCAGTACCTGCTGCAAGGGGGAAAACAAAACAGATGATGTATCAAACATGTAAGTTTTCTACCTTGAGACGGCATTATTTAATGTGGCATACACGTTTAATGAGAAGAAACTAAGACTCCGTGCTATCTATAAACTCCAACCCAGACTTGATTTGATCAATTGGATGGTAACTTACATCAAAAAAAATATTAAAGCCTCAGTTTTTTTTTTTCTCCCCTCCAAAGAAGACACTTAACAAGAACATAAACATGGATAGGTAATTTTCTGGCAATTTTATGGAAGACAGAACTGCTGAGATAGCAAGATATAAAATGCAGGTTCCGCAACCAGCCACAGTTAAAAGCAGTTCATAGAGAAAGATACAATATCTAGAGAATAAACTATACTACACAAAGTTTGTAACCAGTAATATTTACATTGCAACTGCAACAGCACAGGCTGTGATGGGATTTCATCCATTAAAACTAGAAAGAGTTCTAGTAATTGCAGAGCTTATTCACTGAACATGGATTATTTTAGATTTGTTTTCACTATCAATATTCTAATGCATCCGTTTTACAGGGAATATGTATTTCTGCCATCTTGTCTATTTCTGACTTTTTCAAACATGTGTTTGTTGTAAGCAGGCATACTCACGCATCCACATCTCCTATGAGATGATGGCAAGCCTGGATATTTAATGCAAAACTCTATGTCCAAGTCAGAAACATACTCAGGAAAAAAAATAAACAACAAGAAAACAAATGCAGTTTTTAGCTACATACTTGTGCTTATTTTAACTGGACTGGCTGGAGCAGATTGGATCTTCCTTCTATCATTTTCTATACTTTTAACCAACTTCATTAGGGACGGATGCCGAGTGAAGTTCTGCTTGACGCTTGAAGGAAAGAGATTTTTTGAACACTGCTCTCTGGAAGCAATGTGTTCTGAAACATGTGGAATGGAGGTCGCAGAAGTTGTTTCAAGTTTTGCGTCTAAAAAGCAGAAGAAACAAAAGAGTAAGTACGTATCACATGCAGATCCAGTAATGTAAAGCAATTATTTGCACCTAGCTTATAAATATTGAAGTACTAGCAACAGCAAAAATGGAAATGCAAGAGTCACAATATAGGAGTATGTGCTATGTGGAAATATGTCGGACATTCCAAGAAATACTAGTGTGCGCTATGTCGTTGTGGACCAAATACAATGTGACTGTCAAAGACTCTCTGCCTAGTTTACTCTGTCTTTTGGTAAAAGATTTTCAAAATGAAGAAGAAAGCCCAACAATCAGCAGAACAAAAGAAAATGATGCGTAACCTACCCTGAATACTTGGCAAGACCTCAGGTCCCGTCCATTTGAATGCTGGTTTCCTACCTCTCTCCTCTGTAACGTGAACTTTCTTGATAAGCTCAAGGCTACTGAGAACGTTTGCTATGTCATAAAGTCTTCTAATTTTGGCTGAAATAAAAGAAAACAAATGTAAGTTGTAGTGATACTTATTAGCAAGATACCATGGATCAGATTAAAAATTTGACTGTGGCCTTTTAGCAGCTGAAAGGAAAAACCTTCTGAATTTCTTTATGAAAATTATTTTATGGAACAGGCATTTGTGCTACGAAATAATGTATCATATCATAAAATTCAAATTTAAAGTGGATTGACAAAGATCTATAAATCTATATAGTGGTAAGAATATGCTAAATGTGGAAAAACACATTTTCAAAACAAGTTAGGCCCTGTATACTGGCCAAAACTACACAAATTCTATAGTGAAAACCAGCAACTTCTAAAGCAGGTGTACATATGCAAGGAAGAACACTGAAAGTATGGAGAAGAGACACACTGAACTCCAACAGGATGATCATCCTGCATGTTTTTAACTGTGTTCAGGCTCAACCATTATGAAAAGGTTTTAGGCAGTAGTAGAACTACAAGTGAATTTTTTAACCACTCAGAATGTGCTTAATCCAAAGCTTCTGCTACTGAAAATGTAAAGTCTAGGAAGTCACAGAACTTCAGACTGCGCTTCTTAACCAAGAAGATGGTAAAATGTGATACCGTAAGTATTTACACATGGATGGCACAGCATGAAAATGCTGTTAGCAAGACATAGATGTTATGGAGAAAGAAGAACAAATGACAACTAACAAAAAAACACTACCCACACACACTGCTTTGCCAAGATGCAATGGAAAGGAAATTACGAACTGAAACCAGCGAGGATCAGTCTGTTGCATAGTTTCACCAAAAAAAAAAAAAAAAAAAGTTGTCGTCTGAGAAGCAAGGAAGGGTGTAATTTTCAATTAAATGTGAAATTAATTCTTAATGCCTCAAGAGCAGGCACATTTTCAATTAATATAGATATACCGGCCTGGACCTAGAAGTACCTTTACATTTGAATGATGAGCAAGAGGAGGAAATGTGCAGGGAACTGAAAGCAGGGCAAAAGAATGAAGAAATAATTGGCAGTTACAACACGAGGTTTCGCTTCCTCAAGCGTTTAAGCTATTAACAAGACTTTTAAAGCATTTCTTTAGATTTCCATCGAGTAAGTTATATGACCAGAACACGGATTTGCATGATGCTAAGAAACGTTTGCTGAAATGATGCCCATCTCTGTCACAGATTGCTGGAGAAATCGTTACCGATAAGCGGACGTTACTTCACCATGAGAGGATTCTATGGACTTCTCTTACATGGTGTGTATGAATGACAGTGTACAGGTGGATCCCTAATAAAAACTGTGCACGGAGCTTACTGGGTTTTTGGAAGTTCAAATACAAATGGTATTAAGATGATGACAACGTTTTATACTACATAATCTTGTACTAGATATAGCTCATTTAGCTTACACTGTGTGTTTCTATTTAAAGCATGATCAAAAAGCAAACAGGAACAGTAGCATTTTACTTACTTTTGAACTTGCTTTTATCTAAGTCTTCTAACTGATCTTCTCCAATCAAGATTTTAGCAGCAACTTCAAGGCTTACTATTTGAGGAGTTGATACAAGAAACAGCATCACAAATTTCTGACTCATCACTCGTAAAGACTTGTCTTTCCTGCTATTTACTGATGCTGCAGCAGACAGGAAAAAAGGATTAAAGCAGTAAGTGATGTGGCAGCTACAAACGCTTTTAAAAACACTGAAGTCTGTCAGTAACAATGCTGAGAACAAACAATACGGCAATTAGGCAAGACCAACACGGACTCCAGCATTGAGTCTCTACATGGCAAGAATCAGGTAATTAGGTGGATAGCACGTCTAACTACACAGCAAAGAGTGTGGTGTCTCCCTTGGTATACCCTTTCCTATCATCTGACTTGGACTCTCAGAGATGTTTAACTGTAGATTGTATAACAAACTTAACAAGCGTTAGTGAGCATTTCTCCCATGAATCAAACCTAAATTTTAAAAATTAATAATCTATGGTGTCATGTAGACTTTTGGCTTCTGTAACATCCTGCAGTTTAATTATATGTTGAGTGTATTTGTTAGTTTCACCTGTTGTTCCCCCCTTGTTCTTGACCCCTAAAAGTAAAACACGTGTAAGAATCAAATAGGACAACTAGAAGAAAGTACAGCACTTCCTCCAACCACGAACAGATGTGGTGCTTTTCAGGCAGTAATGTTTTAGAAAAAAATACCAATAAGTGTTTTTTTTTTCTATGGGCACAGATACTTATAATCATGAGTACATATTCTTCTTGGCATTGTAGAGAAATATTACCAGCACGAAATTCCATTCCTGGGAGCTCGACAAAACACATTTCTGAATTCTCGTTTGAGACAAAAGACCTCTGCATTTCTTCGTTTCTTTCACCATCTAAATCAAATTCATGCTCATACTCTCTTTTCTTGATCATCTGAATTTGTTGTGTGTATTTGTTCTCTTCTCCAACTTTTTTCAAGGTCTGCAAGGTTTTGGTGAGATTATGTCGCCCATGCCAAGCGTATCTGTTTTTGGCAAGGCGTCTCACCATGTGTAGGCTCTCTAGCACGTTCACGATATCATATATTCGTCTACGTTCAACATCTAAAATAAAGAAAAAAAAAAAAAGGAAGATCAACATGATATCTTTACTACATAAAATACTTTTTTTCATTCATTTACCTGATACACAGCTTGCACAGAAAAATGAAGTTTCCCATACTTCCCCCTCCTAATATAATTCTCAGGCATTTTCACCAACGCCTAAGTACCAACTTGACTGAAAATAAATCTTACAGATCTTGCGGGCAAGAAAACAATTCTTGCTTCAGACATGACAAGGACTTGCTCTTCCAGACCAAGTTATTCTTGTATGTCTTGTACTGTAGACCAAGTTCTTCTTGGTCTACAGTATATCTTAAGAACTAAAGCTCACTGTTACAAGTGGTGCCATTAGATGGGTCTCAGTTCAGATTAAAAAAAGCATTTTTAATTATTCACTGCATCATTTTTAGATTGCCTTGTTAAATACTCTTGGAAACTCACAGTAAAAAGCATACTGGCCTTTTCTGTTGTCTATTCAATTCTCATTTTTGAGTAGGTGTTTTTTAACAGATGATATTTTGTACAGAAGTGTATGGATAGTATTTGCAGTTCATCCAATCTGCAGGATACTGTATTCTTGTAGCTCTTACAGAAAAAAAAAGCTTCAGCTGCTAGCAACTTGGACTCTCAACAGATCATTGGTGCGATACAAGATAGCAGAAAGTAGTTTCTTGCTTTGATGTCATGATTGGACAGGAAACTGTGGGCTCAGCATCAGAAATGCTAGCTCCTGACATAGAAAAGTCAGCCACGAATCTTAGCCATAGTTTCTAGGTTCAAAAAATGCAACTGGTTATTTGTGGTATCTGCAGTAATGTAGATGTTTAATCTCAAACATTATTCAGAGGGTCTTGATTCAGTTCACCAAGCAAACTTGAACTTCTTAAAAGAATTGTGGTAAGAACAAAGGCTGTAAAGCTGTGTTTAGGTAAATGTGAGCGTACACAGTGAGCATTCAAAATGTTATGGAGCAAGAAAGTAATAAACACAGAAGGGTGGTTTATTGGCACATTTGCATGAGGACGTATAATGGCATATACAGCAACTTACTGAGCTCTTCAGCTACTTCATCGAGGCAAATGTAAGTGTTCTCTGCAGTGCTGGGGTAATCAGGATATCGGGCTAGGAATTTATGACACAGTAACCCTAGGCTTTTCTCCTTGCGACTTGGTTGCAGTTTTTCATATTCGTCGCCAGATAAGTGCTCCTATGCAGAAATAAGAAGAGACCTTGAAACATTTTTACGCAAAATGTATAAATCGAACAGCTTAGCTGTGGGCAGCTGTGGAAGAAACATTCTGGGTGTTGTGTGTAACAGTGTGGCGTTGTTAGTTACATTTGTAAAGGCTGTGAAGTCAGAGCTGGAAGGGAAGAGTTGCGGTATGTTGGCTTGGAGGTTTTTATACGGAATGGTCTTCAGGTAAGGTGTTTTTTTTTTAAAAAAGGCAAAGAGGAGACCCTCAGAGCCTACCTGCGTGCAGCACGGGGGCTGCCGGCCGTCCCCGGCGGCGCCTGACAGCTCCTTGCTGCGCTCCCGGCTGCGGATCTCGGGGCTGGCGGCGCTGATCAGCACCTTCAGGTTGGCGGTGGGCGTCCAGGGCTCCGCGGCCAGCCCGTCCCCGGGCTTCGGCGGGGTGGCGAGCGGCTGGCAGCCGGGCCGCGGCTCGGCCGGCACGGAGGGCGAGGCGGCCGCTTGCTTCCGCGGGGTGCCGGGCGGGGCGGGACGGTTCTCCTGCGCCACGGGGAGCGGAGCGCGGTCAGGCGCCGAGCCGCGGGGCTGCCGGCCGGCCCGAGCCCTGCCCGCGCTCCCCCCGCCGCCCCCAGCCGCCTACCTTGTCCTCGTCCTTGGCGCTGTCCCCGTCCTCGGCCGCCTGCATCCTGCCGGGGGCGCGGCGCTCTGCCTGCGGGGACACGGCCGTGAGGCGGCGGCGCCCCCCCCGCGGCACCCGGCGGCGCCTCCCGCCTCTGGGCCCGGCCCGCGCCCAACGGCCCGGCCCGGCCCCGCCCCGCCCATTGGCCGCCGGTGCTGGCGGGCGGGGCGTGGCGGGAGCCGCTTTAAACACCGGGCGCTGCTGCGGCGGCGGCAACAACAGCACCGCCCCCAGCAGCAGCAGCGCCGATTTGAATCGAAGGCGCTGAGGCCGCCCAAGGCAGGGCGGGGCGGGCCAGCCAATGGGCGCGCGGCGCCAAGGCCCGCCCGGCCAATCGGCGCGCGCCCTGCTGCCCTCCGCGGCCCGGGCTGGGGGTTGGCGGGCTGGCGGCGCGGGAACCGGCGCGCGCGGGGCGGCGGCGAGGCGGGAGCGGGGGGGGGTGAGCGCGCGGCGCTCCTCAACGGCCGCAGCGCGCGGGGGGGGCGGGGCCAGGGCTCTCGCCTCAGCTCCCCTCACCTCAGCTCCCCTCAGTAAAGCGCCGGTGCCCGGTTCGCCGGCGCGGTCCCTGCTGCCCCACCCCGGGGCTCCTCACACGGTGGCTGTCCCGAGGGGTTTCTGCGTGTGTCTGCCAGCTCCCAGCCCCCGCCGTGAGTGTGCGGCTTTACCTGTGTGGGCTGAGCCGCCTCACGGGGGTTAAAGATCGCGTGTGGTGTGCCTCACTGGATCAACCGAGCCCCGGGACGATAAACCGGGATTATAGCGAAGTTGGTAAATGAGTCAGGAGTGCCCGAAGTGCAGTGCTGCTGCTGCCTGAGCGCTAGGTAAACACGCGTTCTGATCGCCTCCACAGATAAGTTTTTTCTTCAGCAGCCTGAGCTATGTGTTATGCTAAAGACAGCCCTAATCTGCTCTGTGTGCCCTTCTCACAATTATACTTGTACAAACACGTTGTCAACGGCTTGGTTTGAGCGTGGTCACGAGGCAAAGTCCGTCCTTTTATACCTGTGTGCTCTCTGGATGTGGTGCTGGGCTCCTGTCAGGCTGAATTTCAACTACTGGCTCCTGTAACGAAATGCACGAAGAGTTGTGCTGATATAGCTCTCACCAGGTGATCCTACTTGTAAGATCTTACCACAATCTGCCCCGCACAGCACGAAGAGGCAGCCAGTCAATTAATGCGTGCTATCTCTTCATTCTGATTAATGCGACTCTTTTGATGTATTCTACAGGCAAAATGCCAGAATTTGAACTCATTACAGAAAAAGAAATATTAATTCTTACACATCATTTCATTATCTTATCAATGTCTGTAAATGCCTGAAGAGAAGGTGCAAGCAAGGCAGAGCCAGGCTCTTGCCAGGGGTGGCTGGTGACAAGAGGCAATGGGCATGGACTGGCAGGCAGGAGGCTCCCCATGAACATCAGGGAGCATATCTATGCTGCGGACTGTCCTCCAGGAGGTTGTTCACAAGCCATTAGACATGGTCCTGGGTACCCTGCACTTCTCTGGTGCCCCTGCTTGAGCAGGAGATGGGGGCAGATGGACACAGGTGCCTTCTCACCTCAGCCTGTAATCATCAGTATTGCTGAGTGTGTGTCTCCACTGGAAAAGTGAAAAAGGCAGCACTGATGTTATGTGAATTTAAAAGATTTGGTGATTTGTACGACCCATTGGGCTTTCCTGCCCACTGCCTGGTTGTTCTTTCAGGCTGCTTTCCTCAAGGAACTCTTTTGCAGTTACCCTTTCACTGTGATTGTGAATTTGCAAACAGCAATCACCTGTGGAAGCAGGAGTAGTGCCTGAAATTAAGCATCCAATTTTGTTGATGAAATACAGCTTGTGGGAATCCTTGCAAGTGATGCTGTGATTACATATATCTTGTAAGTTTCCTTGTAGGACTTCATTTTCTTAGTCAAGTGAATTTTAAAGGCAGTAGATAACAGTCTTAAATTATTTATGCCTTAATATGTGCCTGAGGGTCACCTAGGTGAACCTACACTCTTCTGCAGGTATGAATTCCTAGTCAAGTTCATGATATAAGTATACCCTGAAATACTGCAAAAGTCTCCCAGAGTTAAAACGAGTATTTTTCATTTTAAGTATGGATAAGAAAATTCATTTATCCAAAAATAATGAAAAAAGGAAGAGTAGATTCTAAATTAAAACGTAGTGACTGAAAACCACTATATTTTCCTTATTCTGATGTTTCTATAAATTTCTTCAGTCACTTCAAAATTCTGCAGTAATTAGGATTATAACTTTTTATACTCAGTTGTTCTCATCTTTGCTCAGGGTTATGTTGTAACAAAAATATATCTTCGTTTCAGGACTATCGATAAAGTTTTCCAGCGTGTGAAGATAACTGAGGACCGTCTCTCTCAGGAGTGGCATCATCACTTGTGCTCGCTAGAGGTCAGACTTCTTTTACTCCTTTGTGTCTACTAAGAGACGGCTGATATATCACATAGTCGTGCTTGAGGCGCTGTTACATGTCATACTACCCAGAAAAATTACACGATTAATTTCATACAGCACATAACACAAAATACTTAAATTATTAAAAATGACTTTCAAAGATGAAACATATGCAGTAGAGAATCAATGGCAAGTAATGTGACAGGCGGGTTTTCAGTCGGCTGCAATGTCTAGAAGTGATCTCGTGTATTCTCCCCACCCCATACCTCTATAGGTGGGGGCATGCAGCCCACGCAGCCTGCGCAGTCAGTAAGATCAGCTGTGCAAGAGACATAAGCAAATTGAGTTGCGTATAGGTACCCAGAGGAGTCACTGCTGACACTTCTCTGCCCTGGAACTGGTGCCCTTGAGGAGGGAAAGTGAGGCTAATGCCTGGCAGCTCCTATCTGGCTGCTGCAGCAGCACAGAGGCAGCTGGGTGCAGGTTGCAGCACCCGGGGGCAGTAGGTGGCAGTGGCTGATCCAGAAAGTGCTGCGGCATGCTGCTCTCTAGCCTTACCTAATTTTGTATTCATTAGTCTGCGTGAAATTAAATCATATTAAGGCATATTATTGCATGACTTGATTCAATTTTACTTTAGCTTATTTGCTATCACTTGTTACATTATCTTCTGAAACAAGGGAAATTAAATCAGTTGGTCGAAATCTTAGGTGAAAGCTACAAAGGAAACAAGCATTGCGGAAAGTGGAATTCCTTGAAAACAAATGTTTTTTTAAGCATGCTAATTTCAGGCAGTGCTAATTAAAGCCTTATGCATGCACCAGAAACTACACTGGAAGAATATTAATAAGATGGTACAAAGAAATGTAGTGCTTAGGTGCTTCGCTTCTGCAGGTATTTTTTTGTTGTTGTGGTGGTTTATCGGGAAAAGAATATAACAGCACAGAACCAAATGCACCTGAGGGTCAACAGGGCACTGAGCTGTTAGCACTGTTACAGGGCATACAGAGCAAAGAGTTTAGAGTACTCAAGGTACAAAACATGTTTCTACTTCAAATGCTCTTGTAGTCTTGTACTCTTTGTAGTCAAACATCTTACAGGGAATCACATCCAAATTATTTTAGTGTATTAAACATAAATTTTGTTATTTCAACGTTTGAGAGATGAGCTAAGTGAGACTTATGGCCAGGTAAGTGAACTGGTGTTTTTAAGAGTGGAGAGGATTGCTACTTGCCAAAAAGAAACATACGGACAGATCTTTCACTGTAAATATTACTCCTTGATCCACATTTAAAGCACAAATTTGAGCAAAGGCCTGTTTACTTCATGTCCTTCAACTAATGAATTACACTTAGAAGTATATTTTTAAAGGGAAAACTACATTGTGTGGTTTCCACCTAACTTACTGAAGTCAGAAGTTCATGGGTCAGCCAAAATACAGGCTCATCGCTCTTCTGAAAATACATTGTTGTAACGGTGTCAGAACCCACAGCACTTCTACCAAACCTGCCGATCCATTGCACATTTCATGTGTTGGTTGTACAAAGATCTATCCTGACAGCTTCCACGTTCATCAGCCCAAGCTTCTGCATGTTAGATATCCTCACAGCACTGGTGATTGAGAGGGTGCTCATGAGGAGAGGAACAATACAAAGGGGTTGAGAAGTGTGTAAAAAGTGAAAAATGTCACTGTTGTTTGCATACAAAGGAAGATGTTATGAGGGGCTGTGATGGTATTCATTTCCAGCTGTGGAATGTTGAAAAGAGGTATTCTCTCACTACTAGGTAGGTATCACGAGGGAACATTGTTATAGGTGATGTTACAAGCTTTGTCATGCTACCCCAAAGGTTACTGTTACATACAGGTCAAGCTTGAGTGATATTATTAGTGTCTGACTTAGCAGTTCCACCAGAAATTTGGAATGACTATGCCATTGAAAGCTAATTCCCTGCCAAAATAATATATGTGCTAGAGCAAAAATAAATAGGGCTTGTTATTATATTGTTGTTTGCAGGAGCCTTTGGAAGACCTGATTTCCCTAAGTGTGCTACTGAAATCACTTCCATTTAATTTCATGTAGATAGTGTAATCAAGAATGGATTCCTATAGCAGTCTACAAAGCTTTTTTTTCTTTTTTTTCTTTCTTCCTAAAGACCTGATTTTTACTAAAATCTTACCAAAAACAAAACAAAACAAACAAACAACAAAAACAAACAAACAAACAAACAAGTAGTAGCTAGGTTTATTCAAAAGGTTTCTTACTGCATAAATGTGCCCAAAACTAAATATTCTTTCAAACAGTTTCCTAAACATACCGCACCCTCCTCAGTGCTTTGCTGAGAAATGATATATAATGTTAAATGGCATATCATTGGCAGAATACTTTATACTGTAAGATTAACAAAATAATCCATACTGACATTGTACAGACGTTCTTTGCACCTGTGATTCCACTGACCACAGTTACAATATTGTTGCACTGAATTGTTTGGTTTAATTCATCTGTTGGAATAATGTCGCGTTCATACCAAGGAAGACATTTTCTTCTAGAGCAAACTGACTGGTTTCAGAGGATTTACATTAAGAATGAATTTGGTTTGAGAACGTTAATAGTATTTTCTGTTCAAAATTTTTCTCCATTTCATTGAAATTCTTCCCCAGAGTTTTTGTACCATGTTATATTTGAAGCTTGCTTCTTTGAGTTTGCTCTTCACATGTCCTGCTTTAAACGTTCTGGCCAGCTTTGCCTTTCACCTGTTCATCATATATTGCTTCTTGCTCTGTAGGTTCTCTTGCTCTAACTTCTGATGCCTTATTTGCTTCACATTAATTTTCTTTTAAGCCTGCTCTTGGAAAATCCCAGCTGCGAGAGGCATGTTCTTGCAGTCTGTCAGCACACCGATGGGCATGTGATAGGTACTCGCATGGGGGCACGAGCGTGTGTTAATTCGAAGTTTGAGATATACTGGTGAATGCATTGAGCAGGGAGTCAGCATTCCATCTTCCTAGTTGGAAGGATTACTTACTGAATGATACTGAAACTTGAGAAGTCTGGCATTTTCGGAGGTACTCAGCACCATGTGCCCTGTGTTCACTGATCCTCATAGTAAATATGTCTGAAAGGCTGCTAATTTGTGCTGTGGATTCCACACTGTGGAAAGGGTAATAAAATTCCTTATATCTTGGAAATAACATGTATTATAATGGCATAAAGGAAATAGAGTATTTGGAGTTTCTTCTGTGTACAATTAAATTTGATTTTGTTGAGTTAAAAACACTTTTCTTTCCATTAGCTAATTTTCCTGTATCCTCTCTGTGTGGAGGGAATTATTCAGCGCTACAAAGATAACCTTTTTCTTTTTCCCCTGAGAGAATGCTGATTGAGTGCAGTAAATCCACCACAAAGCCTGTAATATCTGAAATAAACTTTACTTGCACCTGCCATCTTCTGTTCCAAATGCCATCTCCATTGAAACACTTCTCTATATTCTGGATATAGCATCTTAACCAAGCTGAATTATTTCATCTGCCATGAAGGGATTAAACATGTCAACAGTAATTATCTTTGCCTTATTCTGACAGTTGTTTTTCCTTAACTATACTCGGAGGTTCATTATGACTTCCTCAGTAAATCTTTTGCTGCATAAATCTATCAAGGTATAATTTGCTGGCATAGTAAAAGCAGAAATGTGTGTCCACTCTTGCAAAGAGAAGATGGTCAGGGGGTACTTGATCATAAATTCTAGCCCATGTTGTTCTTGTTAAAATCCCAGCTGAGCTTATGCTCTGCTTGGACTCTAATTAGGCTTCCATTAAATATATATATATATAATATACATAATATTATATATAGTGTATATATATGATACATATATACTTAATCTATGAGAGCAGTGAGTTTTGTTATTTGTAGAAAATACTTAGTGCTATAAATTCCAATGAGTCAAGCTGTACTTTAAGGAAAAAGAGCAAGGAAGAATAATGTCTAAATCAGTCAAACTTTTATAGACTTTTCAAAGACACTACCATCCATTGATAGTCTCTTAGGCCCTGTGTGTTTCAGTTTATGCAATTGAACAATATTGTGTCGACAATACGTCAAGCACTATTTTTAGTATTATTTAAAATAGGTATCACTTCATGTTGCTATTAATCAACATTTTTGTATTATGGGGCTGGTAAAATGTCCTTTACCAAAGCCAATGAAGATTTTCATTAAAATATCACAAAAGGTGAAATAAATGGAAATTATTAATGTCAAGTTTTAAGAGTATTTTTTTCAAAAAGATGAAAGCCATCTTTCATTTCTTTTGAAAACTGTTTAAGGAAAATATTTGGTCAAATATAAATTAACCTAGAACTGTATGAAAAATTAATCTTTTATTGAAAGGAAACTTGCGTTTATTATCTTTTCACTGTATTCCTGCTGAGAGCCTAGCAATTAAGGCTAATAACTAGACAAATACACTTAGGGTGCTCTCTGGGCATTATAATATTGCAGATGAGGTCATTGGCATAGATGGTACTACGCAGTGCTGTATACCCATGCTCCAAGAAGGCACAGGGGATGATAGATACACATTGCTGCATGCTCATCAAAATGAAATCCAGTTTGTTTCATTTGGCAGCCTCATCAATTCTTCACAGAAGCAATAATTCTCTGAGGATATTTTCTTGTGAAGATACAAAGAAAGAGAAAAAAAACTTAGATGCATTTGAATATTCATTTTTTAGCTATCTTGTTCTGTTTTGTTTTGAACTCCGCGGAGAATGCAGGGAAATGTGTGGTGCTCTAACAAAGAGCCCTTTTTCTTCGGAATAATCTGGCACAGGGAAATTTTGCATCCAGTGAAGATTATGATTAACTCGGGTTTTCACTGTGAATTCCCTCCTGGCCGTACTCCAAACGTTGGCCTGTCAGTCAGGTGTAGAGGATTCTGCAGAGTCTGCTCCTTTTTCCCCTGAAGGGACCGATATGGTGTTTAGCCACAATGGA